TTTTTTTTAAGATTTATTTATGCATACAGAACTGGGGTACAGGCCAGAGGTGCAGGGGCAGTGAGAGGCTTCACCAGAGACAGTGGGGAGCAGAACAGAGGCTGACTGACAAACAGCAGGCAGGTCAGGAGAGGTCTCTGCCGCGCCACGTGGGTCACCTAGGGGCGGGGATCGAACTCATGCTGAAGTGGCTTTAGCTTCTCAGTGCTGTGTTTTAACCCACTGCGCCACCAGGGAGGGTCCCCCATTTGGAATTTAACAAGCGGCAGCTCCTGATCCCATGGCCTGGCAGGGACAGGTCCCCCTCTAGGGTGACCAAGCCCTCTCTGTGTGCCCAGGTTACCCCGCTTTAGCCCAGAAGTCCTGCCTCCCGGGAGCCCCTGAGTCCCAGGCGGAGGGCTGCTCACCCTCCCGAGAACGGAGCCGCCTCCCTCTCAAGAGGGCACACTCTCAACTTGTCTCCCCACTGCAAAGCTGGTTGCCCCCTCTCCATTAGGTGGGCCCTGAGCGACCCCCAGAACTGGCCGTCAGCATCCTCCCCAATTCTTGGGGAACCTTCCATCTTGGAAAACTTCCTGTTTTACAGAGAACCCAGGTCTGGATGAGGGAGACACCCCAGGGTCCCCCAGACCCTGCGTTCAGGCCAGCACTTTCCTTTTTCCTCTGCATCTTGGGGTCCTCTCAGCTTGAGACCAGCTGGTCAGGTGTGGGGGGGTCAGGTGCGGGGTGTTGTTCAGGATGAGCTGGGAGGCGGTAGAGGGGGAGGCCCCTGGCAGTCCCCAGCAGAAAGAATGTCCCACCCCCATGCTGTGCTGAGATTCAGGCTTCAAGACCCCTCTGGACTGCCTTCTGGGCCGGAGCCTCCAGCTCCCTCCTGGGAATGTTCAGGCCTCTCAGCCCCTGCCTCTCAGGCCTGGCTATTCCCAAAGCTGCTGGGGAAGCATACGAAACCCCCCAAAGTCTCCTGTCCCCTCGTGGGGCTTCGGTTTCCCTTCCTGTACAGACGGGGTGAGCCGCGAGGACACCCACTGGGTCTCCGGTTGTCATTTTAATATGGTCTGGGGGTGGGGTGCACCCCACCCATCTGCTCTGATCCCCCGACCCCAAACCCTACGAGCCTTCCTTCACCTCCCTGAGTGTCCTGTCCTGGGGCCTCCCAGCCCCGCCCCTGCCCACTCCCTGCCCGGCTCCCTCAGTGTCACTTCTCGAAAGCTTCAGCCTCACCCGGCTCACCCAGGGGACCTTGCCGCAGGGTGTTGTAACGGTCTGTATCTGTGTTTACTGGCTGGCTGCCAGCAGATGAAGGCTTCAGCGGGGGCAGAGCGCCTGCCTGGGCTGCCAGTGTGGGCTAAACGGACACATGGGAAGAAAGAGAAGCCCGGCCTTGCCCAGACGGAGCCCGTGTGGAAGCACGGCCCTCGGCACCCGACCCGTGCGCTGGGTATTAATCACACACCAGCGGGGACTTGGGTGCGATACGAGCCCAGGTGCCACGCAGACAGCAGAGGCATTCCTGGAGACGTGCAGATAACCTCCGGGCATGGCCAGAAGGGTCACGTGAGGATTGGCAGTCGGCTGACAATGATGGTTGCAATGGAACGTTCCAGAGTGTAGTGTTTATGAATCTTTATGTAAAAATGGTGGAATGTGTGTGTGGTGAAGTGGATAAGGAGTGTATAGAGTAACGGATAAGTTAGAAGTAGGGTATACAAACCCTCGCAATCCGCTTGAAGCTCGCTTTGTTGTGCCAACGGTGCCCGCTGAGTGGCCCGGGAGCACCCCTGGCGGTGTGTGCCCCTGGTCAGCACCACCCTGGCATGTGCCTCCCGTCAGCACCCGCTGCATGACCTTGGCAAATTCGGCTTTGTTCTGACCGCCCTCGGCACGGCGAGACCTCTGTGGGAGAACGTGGGCAGGACCTGAGACGAGCCTGCAGGAGACCCTCATCCTCGGAGAGGAACCCCGAGGCTTCGGAGAACCACCCGCACCCCAGCGTCGGAGGCCGATCCCGGTAGCCTGCTTCATCGGAGAGGACAAGTCACCGTGAGCGATCGCCAGGGGTTAGCGATAGAGTAGCTGCTGATTGCTTGCAAGTTCTATTATGTTACCTCCCTTATTAAGTTATTAATTAACTTATTGAACTAAAAAATAAATGTGTGGGGCTCTCCCTGGTGGCACAATGGGTTAAAGCACCATATTATGAAGTTCTCCAAAGCCACTGAATGCGAGTTCAGTCCCCCGCCAGGGAGCTGACCCACATGGCGCAGCAGACCTCTCCTGTCTCCCCGCCGCTCCCCTCAGCAGTGTATTTCAGTACATCAGCCTGTTCTGCTCCCCACTCTGTCTCTGGTGAATCCTCTCACCCACCGTACCTCTGGCCTGTACCCCAGTTCTGTAAGCATAAATAAGTAAATCTTTAAAAAAAAAACATGTGAAGTGACAGCATCTAACGTTGACAAGTTGACAAGTTGGAATTAATTCGGGGAAACTACTCTGAAAATCTCCACTGGTGACCACTGGCCACCTGGCTCCCTACAGAGGCCCCCGACTGCACTGACCGCCTGCCTGAGCGCCTAGAGGTGTAGCAAACCCGGTATCTGGGCAAGCCAAGGTCTGTGTGCATTCCTTCCTCAAGCAAGAAGCGTGTGGTCACCCCTTCTTTCCAGGGCAAGGTTCCCCTCACCCCCACCCCCCTCATGGGTGGAGTTCTGCGGTGGCCTGCCTTAGCCGGGCCCTCCTCAGTCCCCCTCTCCTCAAAGTTTCCACATGGTTCTTGGTGTTTTCAAGGTTACGGAATCCAAGGGTGACATCAGGCTCAGCGGGTCCCTGCCTTCCACCAACTCCGATTCTCTTACTGTCACCAACACTGTCACAAACAAGGGGGTGGGGGCCGTCACGTGGCTGAGCAACCACATTCTCGCTTCCTTTTTCCACCGGGCTGTTGGGGGTTGGCAGGGTCCGGGACCACAGCAGTACCACAGCAGTGCCTGCCACAGCTCTGGCTGAGTCCTTGTCACTACGGCAGAGGCAGGAGCCCAGGAGGCAGCTGTCCCATGCTCTGCTGAGCACAGTAAGTGCCGGGCTTACAAAACCACAGGGAGTGGCTGGGGCCCAGGGACAGGAGGGCTGACAGTGAGCCGAGGCCCAGCCAGGCCCTGGTGCTTTCTGGGAGGCAGCCCCGGGGGAAGCCCAGAGGGCCCCGGGCTGGGGACCAGGGTCACGCTGGGGTGCCTGGCCTTTCTCCATGTGTCTTCCGCATCCTCCTCTCTCCACTTGCAGCCCCATCGTTCTCCCCATGGGGTTTTCCAGCAGCTTCTGGTTTGGGGCATCCTGAATTAAAGTTCCGAGCCCTTCCCTAAAAATGATCCTAGGTGGGAAGTTGAGGCAACGGGATTTGCCCAGGAACAGAACTGGTGTTGGGGCTGGGGGGGTCAGGAAAGGAGGGGGCCACGGGGGCTGTGGGGCCATGAGACATCACTTCCAAACCTATGTTTGTGTTTTTATAAAATTGAGAAAAATGACACTTGTCTGTAGCAGAGTAAAATATTAGAATTAGAATACTACTGCCAGCAAGAGAGAAATTAGAGGTAATAAGAATCAAAATAATTAGAATGCTCTTAAATTTGTAATCAATTTGGGGTGTTTTAGGGATAGAAAGAAGGATGGGGGGGATGACGGCTGAGGCAGTGGCTCACGCCATCCACGCCCCCCGTGGACAGCCCCCTCACCCAGAGACAGCGATCGGGGCTCCGGTCGCCTGGCGCTCGCCTTCCTCTCTCCTGGACTCCTGTGGGTTCCACCTTTCTCCTCTCTGGCTTCCAGCTCCTGGGGTCAGGCCTCTCGCTGGGCGGAGGACTCGGGAGTCATACCCCAGCCCAGGGCCTAAGAGCTTCCTTGTGGGGTGCTCCGGGGGGTTGCACCCTCTGTTCAGTGCTTCCCTTATGAGGCCTGGCTGGCAGCCAGGGAGACAGAAACGTGATTTGTGTGCGCTGCCCAGGGGTATCCCCTGGAGACCTCAGCCAGGGTGGGCGAAGCCTTCAGAGGGGCTCACGCATCATCGCAGACTCCGGCCGGTGGGCAGTCCCCCTTGATCTAGCTGGGAGGGCCGAAGGCAGAGGGCAGAGGCAGCTGCCTAGGGTGGCGCTGGGCTGGGAGGTGGCCGAGCTGGGCGCACCCTGGGGGTCCCGTAGTGACCGCAGGCCCTTGGCAGAGCTTGAGCAGGAAGTTGGCAGTGGAGCCTGAGGCTGGAGGGAGGCAGGGCGTGGGCGCCTGTGAGGTGCGCTGGTCTGTCAGTCTGCGCGCCCATCCGTTTGTCTGCACAGGTCCTCAGAAACCATCAATTGTGATGCTGTGACCAGGTGCTGACCATCAATTGTGATGCTATGACGAGGTGCTGATTTTGCTGAATGTTTGTGCAAAGCCCTCCCCTCCAGGCAGCAAATTCAGAACTGACAGGAGAATGCTGACTTGGGGGGAGGGGGGGTCCGCAAAAACCCTTATGTGCAGTATTGACATTTCAAGGGGTCAGGTGGTGTCTAGGGAAAAAAATAGCTGAAGAGAACCCAGATTTGTGTGTGGGGGGGCGGGTATGAAAGGAGGTGATGACAGGCAGAATGATGATGTCCAAGGCCTGGGACAGCAGGGCCCGTGCTGTCAGGTGCCGGCCTGGAGCAGGGTGTGGTGCTGGGGACCCGGTGGGCCCCCTTACAGCTCCGGGGCAGCTGAGCCAGCGTGATGGCCACAGTGCTCGTGTGGCCTTGGGAGTGTCCTGGCACCCACTGAGGCCTCCCCACCTGCTGAGCCCCCCGGGAACTAGCAGGAGCAGCAAGACACTGTGGCTCCCGGCCTCTTGGGGTGTCTGGGCCAGTGGGACGGAGTTAACCAGAGGGAGTGGCCCGCAGAGGTGGAGAAGCCTCAGGCTCTGGCTCTAGGGACTGAGCGAGGTATTGCTCATCCTGTTGGGGGCCCACGACAATGGGCTCTGAAGTGAGACCACCCCAGTTCACATTCCTGCTCCCCCTCTCACTGGCTGTGTGACCCTAGGTTCCAAGTAGGCCTCAGTTTCCCTGCTTTCATGTCAGGTTAGTAGGAGCAGGCTGTGGGGCCAGTGACCCGTGGTAGCCTGGCCCGTCCGCTGTGCCCAATGCCTGTGATCACACACCAGCGAGGCCTGGATGGCCTGTGCACCCAGGGCGCACAGGGCCCCCTGCCCCGGCCCTCTCTGATTGTCAAGGCCAGAGGAGCGTTGAGCTCTCCAGGGCTGGGATTTGTGAAACAGGCCATAAACGCAGAGTATCGGTGAGACACGGCCATAAACGCAGGCGATCAACGACCCCAGCGGCCTTTATGGAGCACGTGCTGGGCACCATCTTAAACACTCAACCCGGACCACTTCGCTCCAGCCACTCCCACCCCATGAGATGCGGGTGCTCCCTCGTCCTTGGGCTCCTGACGAGGAACCCGGGGCCCAGTGGGGGGAGTTCAGTTACCCGAGGTCACACAGTGACAGAGCTGGGCCGGGGCTGCTTTGTTGTTGGATTCGATCCTGGGTCGGGCCCCGCACGCCCTGGATGCCGGGTTTAGATGTGCAGGGGTGCGGGGGTACCCCGGCCTCGGTCTACTTGCTGACTTGGAAGCTTCCTTGGTGCCTGCTCCGCGGTACTATTTCTGACAGCGAGGACAGGGGAGCAGCCTGACCACGCATCAGAGGCCAGGTGGGGGAGACGTGGGCTCGCTCGCCTACCGGACGCTGCTTGGCCAGGAGGGATGATGAAATGTTGGCATTCTGAGCGAAAGGGAGGGAGCTGGAGGGAATGGTGCATAGTAAAACAAATCAGAGTGGCAAAGGCCAGTCCTGGACATTCACGTAGCAGACCACAGCACTCCACAGTACATACACTGGAATGCTCGTGAGCATTGGTGGGTGAGATGAGGGTTCTGGGGCTAAGAGGGGCCAGCAGGGGGCAAGGGACGGGGAGCCCAGGGCCGGCTCAGGGACAAGTCTCACATTCTGCACACTGCGGCTACAGAGACGTCTCTGAGAAAGGGAGAGTCTGAGGTTGCGGGACCCTCAACCCTCGGGCGCCCACATTCCGAGTGGGGAAGCCTCAGACTTCTCAGGAGCAGCCCCAGCGGCCACGCCCGGCTTCGAGCTGCTGCAGGTCTTCTACTAGCCCGCCAGGGTGGGGCTCGGAGAGAAGCAAATGGTTTGAGGGAGGAAGACAGGAAACGGGCAACGGCTCCCTGACCTACTTGGTTAGGCAAGCAGTGACAAATAGGATGTGGCCACTGCCCTCCAGGGCCTGCCTGGCCCCTGCGCCCAGGGCTGTTCTCTGCACCCAGGAGAGCAGAGGCAAAGGGCGGGGCCTGCAGGAAGTGTCGTCACCAGCTGCCTGCTTTGCTGATCTCACCCAGGCTGGAGCAGGGGGCTCTGGAGCTGAGGTAAATGAGGCCCCCCAGGGGGACAATGAATTGGCTGTCCTCCTGGGGTCTTTGGAAGACCACGTTTTTTGTTATATGACATTTATTTGAGCAACATTCAGGCCTGATGATCTTACTGGCCACACAGCAAGGCCTGATGATCTTACTGGCCACACAGCACCTGCTCTGCCTCTCCTGTGTGGCCTCAGAAGCCAGCGCCTCGGAGCCAGCGCCCTTCCTGTCGGGCCGGTGGCCTGGTGCACTGGTGCGAGGCTGCTATGCCCCCTCGGGATGGCAGGCCTCAGGCCCCATGCCCTGGCTATGGGGACCCAGTGTTTGCAGCACAGACACAGGGACCATCCAGGAGGAGCTGGTCACCCTAGCCAGACCCAGGCCGGGAGTACTGGGCTTCCCCAGTGTACCCCATCTTTTTTCAACAGACAGGGAGATCCTGGCTCCCCGACAGGTTCCCCAGCTTCCCTCACTGTACAAGGGGGAAGTGGGGAGGTCACTATCTCTGTTCCCTCTCTCAATCTGAGCTCTCCCTTTCCTCTGCTCTTCTGTCACCACCTCCCGAGAGAACCCCCAAACACGTCGCCCGCTGCAGGATGTCAACACAGGGGCAGTTCCTGCAGCATCTGATTCAGTCCTCCTGGGTGTTCTGTGATGAGGAAGCCGAGCTTGGGAAGGTGAAGGGGTCTGCTCTGGGTCCCCTGGGTGGGTGGGGGGTCTCTCCTCCAGCCCAGGCCGCCTGTGTATACAGGGGAGCGTGGGCGTTGACCAGCACACTTCAGGGAGCACAGCAAGACCCTGTGCTCCAAGCCAGTGGGGATGGAGGCTTAGAAAGTAGGCACAGTTGGGAAGTGTCCGAACAACGTGGTGACTCATGCCTCTGGGCGCTCCAGGCAGTCTCCTGCGGGAGAGACCACAGCAGCCTGGAACAGAGCCCCCTTAGGGAGGAGACCCCGGTGCCCTCCATATCCCCTGCCCAGCTTCCGGGCCGCAGAGCACAGCAGCGGGACTCTCAGTTTCCCCCTCCTGCCAAGGAACAGGCAGGCCAGGCCTGTAGTTCCTGCTGCCTCTCTCTCTGCATTCAGGAAGTGCTCAGGGCTCTGCCTTCCAGGAACTGAGAACCATCCGAGCAGGTGTGAGCCTTGTCGTCATTATGAAATGAGTTTCCGAGCTAGAGGCTTCTTTATAAAGTCCCCTCCCACCCCAATCACTCAGGAAAGCATGGCTGAGGGCCAAGCCTGGGCCCTCCACTCCTCCCGCGGGGAACTATATGTCTGAAAGCAGCGTGCTGACATAAGGCAGGTTGGCAGGCAGAGCGGCTGTGCGTGTGTGAGTGACACATTTACCTACCGTGACCCTGGAACTTTCAAGCCCATCATCTCATTACATTCTCCCAACTGCCCTATGGGATCGGCATTGTTATCCCATTTTGTAGATGAGAAAACTTAGGCTCGGAAGGCCATGAATGATATGTGTCAGGGTCAGACAGCTTGTATGGGACAGAATTGCGACTTGAACATCCTTTTGACTGACCCTATAATCTCTGCTTTTGGTCCTGTACTCGTCATGGCACCTGGTGCCTATGGGCTGGCCTTCCTGGACACTCAAGTTCTCCTTAGTCTTACCCTGGCCTCCCTCTGCCATCTGGGTCCCCAATCACGGCCATACCTACATAAAGTTAAACTCCCTTGCCAGACTTTGCTCCTTCTGTCCCCTCAGTTACGCCAAGTCTCCCCCCTCCCCCAAGCCCTCTTGGATCTTCACTGGTTCACATCTGAGCTCTGTCACTCACCAGCTGTGTGTCTTTGGGCAAGTAACTTCACCTCTCTGAGCCTCACGCCTTCTCAGTAAAATGAGGGTCATTGTGACGGCCAACGGTGCCTGGAGCAAATAGCATCCTGTTTGGTGTAAGAGAAGAGATGATTAAACTGTCATTTGAGAAAACAACTCTAAATTCTAACTCTAACTGACATGGGAAGCAGGTGAGATCAGGTTTGCGCACCATGGGGCCGGTAATTTGGTCACTCAAGAATGATGAGTCATTGCTCTGTGCTCCGGTCACATGAAGTAAGGACAGGGTTGGGGACTGTTGAGGAGACACCATGCTAGGTGCACCTGCCAAAGGGCGTGTCCCGGGGCCCCCAGAGCCCCAGGAAGAAAATAGGAGAACTCGCGCACTCACACTGCCAAGAAGGAAGGGGCAGTGAGGGCTCGGGAGGGGTCCACTGCCCTTCCTGGTTGCCTGGTCAGGAGGCTGAAGGCCACAGTGACCCTCCCCATTCAGTCACAAGGTGACAGTCAGCGCCCGGGGAGCAGGGCTGTTCTGACCAAGTTTTCCCTGGACCTTGATAGTGCAGCTAATGGCTCTGGGCCCTCGAGGACTCATGTGATGAGTTTGCTGCAAAACCAAAAGTGGCTGCCCTCTGCTGGAGACGGTGATGGCGGCAAAGGCCTGAGTGCCTTGCGGGCATCACCTCTTCTCATCCTCACCGTGGTCTGCAGGGTGGGCACTGACATCCTCTCTGTGTGAGAAGGACACAGCAAAGGAGCTGGCCCCCGCTGAGAAGGATGAGACTGAGGGCCAGGCCAGGCTGTGTGGGGTGGGAGCCAGGTTAATTGCCAAAGGAACAGAGGGCCCTGGAGAGAGAGGTCAGGGCTAGCCTCTGGGAAGCTCCAACTCCAGCCTGGAAGGTCATCCCATGTGGCCCCCCTCGTTTATAGACCCCGTCCATGGACCATGTATGTGACAGATCCGCCTACGGGCTGGTGCAGGTGCTCTGGACTCACGCTACATTCCATTCTGAATGTGTGCAGAGAAGCTGAGAGGCTGACATCTAGTTAATATAACTAGAAGCTCAAAGGTCTTCTTACTAAACCCCAATGTCTTCTTCTGCTTACATATCAAACATTTTGCTAGAAAGGCAAATGAAATTTCTTCTTTTCATTTATTAAAAAGATTTAAGTTTCTTGGACTCTAGAGAGGGAGTTGGAAGTCTCCCAAGGTGGATTTATTTTATTTTATTTTTTAAAGATTTATTTATGTGTGCATACAGAACTGGGGTACAGTCCAGAGGCTCAGGGGCGGCGAGAGTCTTCACCAGAGACAGAGTGGGGAGCAGAATAGGCAGATCGACGAAGTACACTGCTGAGGGGAGCAGCGGGTGGGTCAGGAGAGGTCTGCCGCGCCATGTGGTCACCTCCGGGGCAGGTGGGAATTGAACTCATGCAGAAGTGGCTTTAGCTTCTTAGTGCTGTGCTTTAACCTGCTGCGCCACCAGGGAGGGCCCCAAGGTGGATTTATTAATGCCAACAAATGATGATGATGGCTGTTCCCTGAGTGTCTGCCCTGTGCCAGGCGGGCCTTGAGCCAAGTGCCTGCCCCAGACTGGACACGCTGACTAGGGTAGTCCAGGTTGCAGTGGACAGCATGCGGGAGACCCTGGGGGAAGAGGTCCTCATGTCCCTCTGTCCATATGTCCCTCCAGGTGCCATGATCCCTCAACTTCTCCTGCTGCTGACCCTGCTGGGCCCTGGCAGCAGCCTTCAGCTGTTGAAGGCCAGAGAGGACAGGTCCCCGGAAGCGCCAGGACTTCTGCTCATCCGGGGCAGGAGACAGTTGCCTCTTTCGACTGAGGACTCAGAAGAAGACTATGACAGTGTCACGGGAGGCACGAACATACCTGAAGATCTTGAAAATAGCTCCATGACTGCGGTCCCCGCCCACAGTGTCCTGGCAGTGATGGGAACGTCAGCACAGAGAGGTTCTATAGGGCCTGGGACTCCCGATCCAGCCACTTTGGAGGTGGCCACAGGGGATTCTGCTGGCACGTCAATTATGAGGAATGAGAGTGGGGCAGCGACTACCCAAGGGGTGGCTGTCACGCCAGGCTCCCTGACCGAGGACCTGACCACAGCCATCCCTCCCCGGATGGAGACTCCCTCCCTAGCGCCAACCACTGTGGAGGCCCTGTCTTGGGGACCAGCCACCACAGAGGCCCTGAGCACACTCCCCATAGCCACAAAGGCCTCGTCCACGGAATCCACAAGCACAGAGGCCCTGTCCACAGCAGAATTGGCCCTGCCCACAGGGTCAGTCGCCATAGAGACCCTGTCCACAGAGCCGGCTGCCACAGCAGCCCCGGCCACGGAGACCCACCCCACAGAACTTGCCTCCCCAAGGAGCCCAAGCACTGTGACAGACAGCAAGTCATCTGACAGCTTCCTCAAGTGGACAAACAGGTGGAATCTCCTCCTGGAGACCACAGCTACCCCCAACACTGCCCCCACGAGGGCCCAGGACTACATCCCCGTGAAGCAGTGCCTGCTGGCCATCCTCATCCTGGCCCTGGTAGCCACCATCTTCCTCGTGTGCACCGTGGTGCTGGCCGTCCGCCTCTCCCGCAAGAGCCACATGTACCCTGTGCGCAGCTACTCCCCCACCGAGATGGTCTGCATCTCATCGCTGCTGCCTGACGGGGGCGAGGCGCCTGCAGCCACCACCACAGCCAACGGGGGCTTGCCCAGAGCCAAGAGCCAGGACAAGCAGGCGGAGCCCGGCGAGGACCGCGAGGGGGACGACCTCACCCTGCACAGCTTCCTCCCTTAGCTGCACCCCCACTGCACAGCCCTAAGCCAGTCCCCCCCACCTGCTCGCACCCTCCAAGGCCACCCGGGCCCCAGCCCGCAGGCCCCTGGGCATCCCCCTGGGGATGGGGGTCTTTGGGGCAGGGTGCTGGCCACCCCTCATGGGTCTGAGTAGACCCTCAGGCAGGCCTGGAGAACAGAAGCCCGTGCTCTCTCCTGTGTCCTCTCCACACCCGGTCTCCTGGCTGACTTGGGCTTCTTCTAACGCTGGGCTTCCTCAAAGCTTCCCTCTGCAGTCCTCCTTGCTCCAGGAAGGACTCAGAGCCTCCACGCTCCTTCCAGTTTCTTCTGGTGGCCACGGGCACACAGGCAGGAGCGGGGTGGCCAGCACTGCCGGACCCCGAAAGCCAAGCCCTTTCTGGAACCCCCCACACTAGCCAAGTAGTTGACTTCAGTGCTGTCTCGAAGTGGGGGGGCCTCTCGGTACATCCTTGAGCACCCAAAGCAAGTTTAGGACTCTTAGGGGGAAATTTATCAGGATGTCTCCATGACAGAATCAGATTCCTTCCCCTTTAGGAGACTAAAACCCCTTCTAAGGTCGGTGTCCTCCTCCCAGATGCCCCTAGTCCTCTCAGTCCCCGAGAGGCCTGACCCCACTCACACCGCCCACCCCTCTCCCAGGGACACGCTCAGCCATGGCCTCCAGCGCGCACACAGGAGGATTTACAGCTGTCACGAGTTCGCCCCCAGCAAACTCTTTCTTAGAGGTCAGTGATGGTTCGGCAGGTCGCCAGCGCCCTGTGGCGGCTTGTGGGTTCTGTCCGCTACCTGTGAACCCAGTAACTGACAGGTGATCGTACACGAATGGTGTGGCTGAGTTCTAATAAAACTGTCCAGGTGACCCTTGGCTCGGACTTGGCTCTGTTAGTTTGCTGAGCTGATGCACATGCCAGGCGACCAGATGTCCGTGTGCTGAAGACCTCCCTCTCACACCCTGGAAGTCGTGTATGTTGGAAAATGCCCCAAGACAGCTGGATGCCTGATGTAAGCAGCACTTGCCATTTTGTCCCAGTGGGGCCCACGGTGACCCCTTTCCTGTCAGAACACCCAGACAGCAAACAGGACTGGCAACAAGCTCGTCCTCTCTCTTCATCGTCTCAGTGGTGGAGGGGAGGAAGGATTCAAGCCCTTGACCTTGTGCTCCCCAGTGCCTGATAATCATTTTCCACAGGGAGAAGGGGATGGGCCCCCCTGAGAGGAATACAGTTCCCCTCAGGGGAGCTTGAGGTTTTTCTTGTCCAGGAAAACACCCTCCAGTAGCCTCTCCGGGAGCTAACGACCCTCCAGTCCAGGGTCTAACCTGCCAAAAAATTCATTCAGAGTTGAGTCTGGGAGATACGGACTGTAGCTTGGGAGAGAGGGGCTGGGGAAGAGGAGAAATGGGGCGGGGGGGGACACGGCAGGCATGGGGGTTTGGGGGGCCGAGTGTGACTAGTGCAGAGCTGGCTGCCCTTCCCCTGTGCTCTAGAACTGGCTTGATACTCAAGAAGGTTGTTCAGGCACCTGGTGTGGAAGAAGGGCGTCCACGTGGGCAGGGAAGGGCCCAGCTTGATGCACCAGGAGAAAGGTGTCCTGTGGGAGTGATCAGAGAAGCTGGCTAGGGGGTTCCACACCCCGGGCTTGGGGACCCATGGAACATGACATGAGGTCAGTCTGTCCCGAGGGGTCTTGTCTCCGCTTTCTTTTGGGAGGGAGCAGTTCTCCACATTCACCTGAGGGCCCCCAGAGGGCCTCTGTGAGGATGCTGGGTGAACGCTCGGGCTGCTTTCCGTCTGCCTGCTGGAAGAAGCCCGCTGCCACCCCTCCCTGCTCAGCAGCAGGTCCCCACGGCACAGGACAAGTCAGTGCCACCCAGGGTGCCTGAGGCAGCCACCAGGGGGCGCTTGTCACCAGCACTTAGGCCACTGGAAGCCGGGTGTCTTCCTCCAGGTCTTTGGAGACAAAGGAGAGTGGTTTAGCAGGGCCCCCCCAAACCAGTGGAGCACCCATAAATTTAGCTCCTTGGATGAGCATGATTTGGAGCACTTGCGGTTCTCCTGCTGTATGTGCGCCTCTGGCTGATTCCGAACATCTGCTTATAGAGTAGGTGACACAGAGACTGTAAACACCCAGGGCACAGACCATAGTCGAGGTGGTAACAGATGACAAGAAAATGATGAATTTTGAGTTTTGAGAATCTGGTTTTCATGTAACTTAGGTAACCTGGTTTTCACGTGACCGGCCCACACAATTCTGGAAATATGAATTTTCAAATTTCGCCGTTCAAGGCCAGCTCCTATGTGACAGCGGTGGGCCTGCCCGTTGCCACCTGCCCCTTCCTCCTTCCTGCCTCAGTCTCCCACTCATCTGTGCACAGATCTGCATGTCTCCACAGGTCCCCTCAGCAGCCTGGGAAAAAAATATCCTCCCCATTTTACAGAAGAGGAACCCCAGGCCCTGAGAAAGAAGTCACCCTCCCAGGTCATGCGTGAGGTTCACGTGTGAGGTGTGACATTGAATCTGGGTGGAAGCAGAAGGCCTTCCTCTTACTTCTAATACTCTGCCCTCTGTCACAGTGGGGACCTGGGGGAACCCCATGTCCCCCAGAACCCCATGTTCCCCAAACTCTCACTCCTGCTGGCCCGCGCTGGCATCTGGAATCCCCCCCGCCCAAGTCATCCCTGGGGACCCCTGCTTGCTGAGGGGAGCCCAGGTACTGGGAAGGGCGACCCGCCCTCTCCTCGAGAGCAGGTGCGAGGACAGACAGACAGGCCGCAGCGAGGAGAGGAGACGGCAGGGCTGGGCCCACACCTCGCCCCGCTCATCAACACCTTTATCTGCAAGATCTCACAACCGTGTCACGTGGGTACAGTAATGACCCACTTTCCTGCTGGGAAAACTGAGGTTCAGAAAGCCGGACCACTTGCTCCAGAAGATCGTGCTGCTAAGAAACCAGACTGCTGACTTGGGTTCTGGCGGCGGGGAAGGAAGGAAGGGAGACAGGAAATGGGGGGCGGAGGCCCGGGCACGCTAAGTTTATTCCAGGTCCCTTTCCTTTTACGAGCTGTGCCTGCCAGCCCTGTGGGTGGCTCCTCCTGTCTCTGGTCTCCACAGCAGCAAACCACCCCAAGCTCAACCTCCACGCCCCACCCCATCCGCCGCTCTGCCAGGCCCCGTAATTCGATGGCCTGGAGCAAGCACGCCGTGGCAGGTGCGCGCTCGACCCCAGGTGAGCAGGGCGGGACTGTGAGGCCGTTGCTGGGCTCATATTCTACAGGGAGACGCACAGGTTAATCGAATGATCTATACGAATGTCAGAGGCTGGCTCGGCGGAGCCCCAGGGAGTAGGTGCTGGGGGTTCTCTGCGCGCGGGTGAGCCATGCACCTCGTCTGCTGGAACAGCACTCACAGCAGACACCAGCGCGATGAGGCTGGAAAGGACGCTGAGGGAGGGGGCAGACACAGAGACGACTGTGACTCCAGTTAGAAGTCTGGGAGGAGGCACAGAGAATCCTCGGAGACAGAAACCCAGTCAGAGGTTACCCTGGGGGCGGAGGGGGACGATGAGGAGGAGCCTCAAGGAAACCTCGGGAAGATGGGAATGCGTTGACCTTGACCTTGATCTTGCAGAGCCCGCATGGGCATCTACAGTAGCCAGAACGCTCTAGTCTGAGTGATGTGAGGATTCCCCAAGAGCAGGACCACGAAGCAGCAGCAGCAGGTGGGTTCCTGAGTCCCGGGGCCTGATGGCAGAAGGTGGGGCTCTAGCTTGGGGAGCCCTCCCCCCACTCTGTGTCCTGCATAGGTCCAGCCCTCCTGGCCTGCAGTGGCTGCTCCCCAGCTCCAGCGCGATCATCAGCCCCCATGGTCCCCAGGTCCAAAAGGTGTTTCCAGCCTTGTCATTCACTGACCGTTAATCTAAAAGTCTCACCTTCCAGGGACTGCCGCCTCACGCCTCCTTGCACACACTTCTGGTCCCTAGCGGCCGTCGTCCTCTGCCACTAGCTGGCCACTCGGGGGTTGAGAGCTTTATGAGCTGAGGATTGATGCCACCGTGTCTTTGAGCCCCCCCTTTGCTCATCTCTCTCCCTACTTCCTGCCCCAGACTCGGGCGCAGCAGCTCCAGGTTGCTCTCCCTCCCCTGGGGCCTCGATCTCCCCATGTGAACCACGGACACCCATGTGTCAGCCATGCCATGGGGTGGCCACTGCTCCCTGTCTGCCCCTCCCGTCCTCGCGACTTAGGACTTGTGGATTTTTCATCCCCAGAAAACTCAGGAAAGAGAGTCATGTGCATGGGGGCCGCCCTGTCCTGGCTGCATTCCTGTTGGGGC